TGCTGGAACCGGTTGGAGGTTGCACATACGCTCTCTATTAGTATTCATCTTGTTGGTTACAATACACAAATAATGTAGATTATGTAATTTCTTTTCTATTAATATTTACCAAATGCTGCGAGGGGGGGGCAGACAAAATTCAAATTGCATTTTTCATGTCTTGAAAGCTCAACTTAGGATATATATTAGATTTATATATAGCATTGTTCTAACATATGTATTTTTGACACAAAATCGGATTTTTTTCTGAAATAACATATCAATATAACAAATTGGAATGAACTTGGAATAACAATTTCATCAAGCAGGCCAGTAGAAGGGAAGATATAGAACTGTCCCCTTTTTTTTTCGTGCAGTGTACCTGTCATACACTTTATCTAGTTTAACAGCATTTTAAAATTCTTTGTTATATGATCTTTTTAATGAATTTAGTTCTCCAAAACATTCAATGCATATAAACAAATTTAATAATTGTATTTTTAATTGACTTAAAATATAGTCATCCAGACAATTGGAATTCTTCCATATGTGTACAAAAGCTTTTATTTGTTCTTAAGAATAGGAGTTTTCTGTTCTTGCTCTCAGAACAGTAATGGCTTAAAAACCTCAACATTCATTCAGACAATATTAGTTCTAAAAGGACTCAAACAAGAAATATGCAAAGGTTAATTTTTTATTAAGATTCAAAGCTTATTTAGTTAAGGAAGCTTAATCACGAAATATGCAAATTTTAGTTATTATGCACTTTAATATTAGCTAAGTCCCAAAGAATTTTAAAGGCATATTTAGTAGCTAAACTTGAAGCTTACTTTTAGTCCACTTAAAAATTAATCATTTATGAAAGTAAAGATATGCAGTTTGGTGCTAATTAAGAGTTTCACTGGACCTCACTTAAGGCACTTGTCTCAACAGCCAAAGGTCTGCAGTTTGATGTGCCATCATTTCAGTATTTCCTACTTTCATCAGTAGTTCATGAAAACATCATCATAAAAACTACGTAATGAGTTGTTAAAAAAAAAAATGTTTTAAAGTTGCTTTCATGGTTAAAACATGTATTGTAATGCATCAGTCATTGTATGCCTAAGTCAGTGTTAATTTGGCAGTTTATCCAACCATTGCTAAATTGGAGCGAAATCAACAGCTGCCTCATTATTTTCTATTCTGACCTCTTTTGTCCTTTGACATCTTTATCCTTGAAATTTCTGTTACCATTTATAGAAATACTGTCACATGTGCAGTTTTTTTTTTTTTTTTTTTTTTTTTTTTTTTTTTCATAAACATACTTTATAAATAATAAATTTCAGAAGCATTTAGCTTTTCAGCTCACAAAAATATATTAATGGAGAAAATCTCAAACTGTGGGAGCTGGATTCAACTAAGTGTTTTTAACATGCAGGCTGCACTTACAGTAATGGATGAAGTAAAAATCACTTTGAGAAAGAATGTAGCACATACCTAATTTTTTTTGTATGTATTGACACTTTCTTTTTTATCCTAACTTTTAACTCCACACTCTTCAGATTTCAAATATGGATAACCCTGATGGTTTCTGAGTAATTTTTCACATTTTCAAAAAGAATTATTTAAAAATTCTGCTCTTGTAATCTATCCTTACACAAGCTAGAGCCACCCTTAAGTACCTGTAGTTTGACCCAAGTTCCATGCAAGGCCATGATTGGAGAATAGACTATCTACTGAATCTTTCATGAGGAGATATGTAAAACCTGACTGCTTTTATTTCCAAATGTAAAGTGGGAAAAATATTAGTTTAAGATCATTTATAAATTGTATCTTAATCTTTCATATTTGTTATTATATATGTATGTATATATATATAATTGAAAAGAATATAAATGAAAAATTATTTCCTAGGAAATTTAAAATATAATTTAGATCGTAAATATGTATAGAAATTGTGAATAATAATTCTCTTTTGATAATTGTTTAAATTTGCTTTTTATTATTTTGAATTTTAATTACCAATTCCAATTTTAATTCATTACAAATTCCAGTTTTTGATTTCTACAATGGTACACATTTACTATAGGAAGAGATACTATAGGTTACTAAAGAAGATAACTGTTCATTAATATATTCTCTATTAAATTAAATTTTTAATCTTATCAGTGATAGTGCAGGATTTTACTTTTTTAAGTCCTTTTAAAACAAAATCTGAAATTCCTTAAAGTTTCCCTCCTTGTATTTCTTTACAATATACATATATAGAGAGAGAACATAAAGGAAATTATCTCCTTGGAAATTCAAAGTGAAATTTAGAAATCAAATGTGCACTGTTGGGATAATAAATAATTGGCAATTTCCTTTATATTCTTTGTTATTTTATTAAGTTTCACTTTTTACTTTTATTTAAATAAATTTTAAAATTCACTAATTAAGAAAGTTTTTCTTTACCAGTATTATATATATACAATCAAAAGTCGTTAATTCGGACACCCATAATCCGGACCTCAAAGCTAAAAGCTTTCTGTGCATGAGCCGCGTTGACACATGCACATAGGCGTTTACGCATGCGCTTAAGACCTTTACGACTGCGCATATGCGTGTGCGCAAGCGCAAACGTTTTCGCGTGCGGCGTTTTATATAACGACGGTATAAGCTAAAATTTATTTATTATCTATTTCAGTTAATGTTTGATTGATTGTTGTTCCTTAATCTTCGAATTAGATCTGGCTTATTATTTTTTGCAGACTGTAAGCAATTTTATAAAAGTAAACTTGAACTTTCGATTATATCAAAGAATTTCCGATGCTGGAGCCCCAAAGGATCTACAAAACGAAAGTATGTTTCGAGTCCATCAACAAAAAAGTGGAATTGCTGCAAAAATTGATAAAGCTGAAGAAGGTGACAGAGAGGTTAGTGAAAACGAAAAAATTTCGATTGACAAGTTAGTCGGTATTCTCGGCACAGCAATTACAGGACTTGAACAGCGGAATTTGTAACTGAACAAGAAATTATGCCTGTTTATAGAATTAAAGAGAAAGTATTATCACATAAAACGAAGCAACTTAAACAACTTACATTTAAAGAAATTTCTAATAAAGTAAAAAAATAAATATTAAGCTTTTTTTTTTTTTTTTTTTTTTTTTTTTTTTTTTTTTTGTAAATTTTGATACCCTTTAGATCATAATTGTTCTTTATTTCATAAATTACGGTTTCATATTTTTAATTTTAGAATTTCTACATGCCATCTTACGAGATTTAAACTGATGATCTATAATCCGGAATCGCCGAAGTCCCGACGAGTCCGGATTAACGACTTTTAACTGTATATATGTTTATAATACTAGTGAAGCATATATATATATATATATATTACACAGAGAGTGTTTATACATTTTTAGAAAGAATTTGGAGCTATGTAATTAATGTTTAAAATGTAAGGAGTACTTTTTTTAAATGTTCAGTCTGATAGCCTTTTTATTGGGCTAGACATTTGCGTCGTAATTTCCATGATAATAGAGCTTTTTGCAAAATTTCCAGTGATATTAATTTCCATTCCTTTTGTACTAATTTCCAAAGTTCATGAACTATGGCAGATTTCTGCTGAGAAAGAGCTCTTATCAGGAGAAAAAACACACAGTACTTTAGAAGTGAAATGTAAGGGGATTTTGCAGGAATGTGTTAAAGAGATATATATGTGATACCTGTATCAAATTTTTTACTAGGAATGCAATCGTACTCTTTCATGTATGATTTGTTGCTTTGTCTTGATATTCTTTGATTTCTCTTTCTTTAAAAGTCATTAGGATAAAGAAATGAAATCTCCTTAAATGTCAGATATAAAACTTTATCTTGATACTATGTTAAGTGATTTAATTTTTTTTCCCATTTTTCTTATTTTTAATTTTCTATCATAAGAGAATCTTGTGACAATCATAAACCACTTACTTAAACTTTCATTGCATTGACAGATTCAAGTTTGTGAATTTTTTTCTACATTTTTTCAATAATAAGAACCCCCCCCCCCTTTTTTTTTTTTTTTTTTTGTTACAGTTATTTAGGTAAACTCGTGCTTCATTCACAAGGCATTTCTGTTTATCTCCTGTTAAATAGTTTTTTATACAAGGTTCTGTAAATTATTCTGTGTTGAGTCACAAGCCTGGTCAAAAACTGGTGGACATTTAGTTTTTTAGCTTTTTAAGTTGTAAATCTTGGTTAATAATTTTTTTTTATTGTTGCTACAAATGCATTTAAAGACTTTGCAATTGATTTCTGCATTGTCAGATTTTCCCTTATTACCAATGTTTTAACTTCAGAAACTGAATTTACCTTTTCCATATATTCGCTTAGAATCGTCTTTCATTGTAGAAATAATGATTGAAAGTTTTTCCCTTTATTATTATTTATTGTTGCTTATTTTGCACTTAGAAATACCATGCATTTCACAACATTTTTTAAATTATGGAGCAGGAATATTTTTCTTCAAAAAGTGCAGAAACATATCCTTCTAAGCCCACCAGAGTGGTAAAAGACCCTGAACACTGGTAGTTTGATCCAGGGTTCGAGTCCATGTAAACAGGCCAGCTGCATAGCCATTTCATGATTTTCTCCATGTGCTATATGTATATGAGCCAATTTCTCTTAAAAAGTCTTCCAAGAAGTCATCCCTCCTTTCTGGACCTTGAGTGCTTTGCTTATAATCAAACAAACCAAACCAAATCACATCCTTCAATCTACATCTTGTTTACGTGCCTTATTTTGAAAGAAGAATAAATTTAAAAGTAACTGATATTTCTAATTTTAAATAAGCTGTTGCCAGAAATTTTTATTCCGAAACATTTACTTTTATAAAACTCTTTATCAGAATCATTCTAAAAATGTATAAACACCCTCTGTGTATATGCATAACATTGCTGTTATGATCTTCAGATCAGTTATGTTAGTTTATTAATTTTTCAGTGCAGTGCTTATTTACTTATTAGATACTAAGATATATCTCATTTACATATTAGTAATTCATTATCTTATGTTTCTATAAGGTGTAATAGCTGTTGAAGGTCTCCTTTATGTTGTTGGCGGTGATGATGGTTCTTCAAATCTGTCATCAGTTGAAGTATACTGTCCTAAAACAGATTCTTGGAGCATGCTTTCTTCCTTCATGACTATTGGTCGAAGTTATGCTGGTGTTGCCATTGTAGATAAACCAATGTGATCTGAAAAATGGTGGGAATTATCTCATGCCACTATTCTTATCTGTGAATTAATGTACATATGTTGTTATAAATATTGGTGTTTATATTTATTTATCTTACTTTTTAAGTCTGCATTTTTGTTTTTGTCTTTTTAGTTAAATGGCCCTTGGTGGTAATAACCAATTAAAAATACAACGAAAGTAAATTTCAAAAGGCTTCCCATATATTTTTTTAACTAAATTTCATTAATACTCTTAAAATTTAAGAAATTGTTTCTTTTCATTAAATTGCAGTGGTATGGGTATAAAGATTTATTTTAACTAATTACCCATTCCTTTTAAATGGTGATGAAATTCTTAGAATGAATTAATATATATATGATGGAAAGTCTATTTTGGTAAATCAAATGGAAATATGTTGTTCCTTATTTAATTTTTCAGATAGAACCATATCTGTAAATTAGTGTGTATATGAAATTTTTAAACCAAAAGTTTGATACTTCAAATATTTTGAAGTCAGTTTGTAAAAAATGAGAATGACAGAGAAAATATGCTTTTTATTTTACATTCTGCTTGTTGTTTTGGACAGTAATAGTCTAATTGCTAGTCTAATTTTAGCTTTTATAGGTTTTATTCATTTTTTTATTATTCATCTGTCTATATTTTGTGCATGAGATGTTAATTGCATATAAGCACATATATCTATCATCTTAGTAAATTAATGAGGTTTTACTAAACCAACTAGCATTTTCTTGTTTCATATAAACAACTCAACCTTCCTTTTCTTTAATAATGCACCTAAGTCTGCAATATTATGCTGTTGTTAATAGTCATGTTTCTTTAAACATTTGCCATCTTAGTGTCTCAAATTTTTGTTCCCTGTCAAATAAAGAAAATTTTATGATCAATTTATTCTTACTTATATTCAAAACTTGGCACATACAAATATGCAAACATTTTGATTAATATTCCTCTGACTATAAAATTTGAGGTGAATAATGATTAACATTATTATTATGAACAAAAAATAAAGAGCTCGAATCAGACCAAAAATGTTTCAGTTCAGACATACTTAACATATTAACTAATGGTTAATTATTTTCCAATGCCATCCCCCAATATATATCTGTAGTTTTAAACTATGTAAAATTATGTAAGCTCCAACTAATATCAATAGATATCAAAATGTTAATCTGTTCCCTTCAGTCTTGTTTTTTCTTATAGTTTTATTTACACTTACAGTACTTCCAGTATGCATTTATAAATTACGTATGATTTTATTTTATAGGAATAAGCGTACTTCTTGTGTTTTTGCTTTGCACCATTACTATGAGTGATAGCTTCAGTTTTCATGATTTTGTTAATTTCTGACACATTTAATTCTGGAATTGAGGGGGAAGAAGCTGTAAAACAGGAAATAAGAGAAGGTTAAATGCAGTTTTCTGAAGACATTTGTTGTTTATCCGTGGTTGCAGCAGCTGGTTATATGTTTATTGAAATATTATTATCAAAGCGAATGCAAAAGCACCATTTTTGAAAAGTTAATATATTTTTGGAAAATAGGTATTTTCATATAATAAATATGAAAATATTATTATAGAAATAAAATATTCATATTAAAATAAAAAAATAAATAAAAAATATAATATTTCATATAACAATAAGGATTGTGACCAAATTCTCATTGTTATTTTTCTTTCATAATGCACTTAGATCATACGAGAATGAAGGGCACAAAAGAGAAGCAAACTCTTTTTAGGACCTGTGGTATTTTTTTTTAATGGACAAACTTTGCTGATCTAAAATTAAATTTTGCAATTTAAATCATATTGAATTTTTATCTTACTGAACGGGAAAAATCTATAAGTTTTCCCCTAAAATAAAAAAATTTCAACTAAATGAGAAACTCTTAAATCTATTAGCATATCTCAAAAATAATCGTAACATAATCTTGATTTAATTTCCATTCCAACCTTAGTAACAACTTTATATTGTGATCGAAATGTTAAAGTATCCATATACCTGAGATGAAAAGATTGACATCAAATGGTTGTAAAAAGATGTTTAATATTTACATTCATTGTAGTTTAGTGGTAAATTAAATCCAACTATGTTGATAATATAATATAAGAACCAAATCATTTTTAGAGGAAATTTTTAATAGCTCTTATCCAACTAGCATGTAAAATCAAAAGGAAGAAGGTACAGTCAGGAGTCTGCAGCAAGCAAAAAATCACCTCTTGTTTAATGTGTGTCCATAGCGCCATTTTACTTTGTTTACTAATAGATGGCTACTTGCTAAAATCTCATTAACCTGAGTCTAAATAAGAAAGCCTAAGTTTCATATTACAATTACATAATTTATTATGAAGAATGGCTTCCAATATTAAGTCAGGATATTGATAAGTAATCTCAAAATATGTGATACATGCTTTCTCATATTTATGCTATTTTGTGCTCAAGTATTTTAAGCATTTTAATATTCTTAAAGAAGTTAAGGACTAATTTCTCAATATGGAAAAGGGTCTCTACTTGGAATTATTTATAGATGGATAAAGGCAGATCAAATGAATTTTACCGATGCATTACAATAAGCTAGCATTTCCCAACCATAGTTCCTAAGAACCCTAAGGTTCTCCAGGAAGTAGGAAAATAACACCAGATTTTTTTTTTTTTTTTTTTTTTTTTTTTTTTTTCCCTGATTTGTATAGCACTCGGGGGGAACTTTGGTGAGGGAAGAGGGTGTGACTTATAAGAGTATAGCTGATGACAAGTGAAAAACTGCTTGTGGCTGTTTGACTGTGCTGAGTTAGACTTGTCAGACATCATCAAGAGTTGTATGAATTTCTTTTTTACTTGCATTACAAATTCAGTTGTTAATTTATTATTTTTTTAAATGGAACGAAAGTATTTTTTAGCAGATTTTGTAGAACTGTACAGTGGCACTGCACAGTACAACATAGCCGAACAGCTAAGGGCAGCTTTTCAATTGTCACAGGACAAGAATCTAGTGTGCTTGTGTATTAGTAATGCAAGAAGTGTAGAAACATGTGGTTAATTAAAGAGAGCTCTAGTGTATATTTTTTATTATACATGAACATTTATTTTGTTATTATTTTAGTCAGTTTTGTTTCTCATTTTTTAGTTCTTTTATAGATTTTAATAGTTAAAATGTGGTGATACTTGACAACAAATAATATAGATAATTTTTAAGAGACTAGGGATGAAGATTTAGAATCTCATATTTTAAATTTCAAAAGACTAATAAAGAAAGAGGTGCAAAAAAGTGTGTTGTTACAATGAATGATATTGATCATGAGCTTTACATGGACTGCTGATCCAGAATGTCCTCTTCCATTGTGTGCGGTTTGTGCTAAGAAAGCTTTTGAATACAGCGAGCAGCCATTTCACAATAAATCATACTAATATTAAAAATAAAATTTTGATTATTTTAAAATTTTGATAAAATATCAAAATAAACTGAGTGCAGCTTTTGTAAATGCATTCACAATTAGTGGAAAGGGTTGGGGAGCAAGTTATTTGGTAACAGAGCTTATTACAGAGCAAAGGAACACAGTCTGAGAATTGGATACTGCCTGCAGGTAAAATGTTGGGATAAAATGCATTAAAGGAAATTGAAAACATTCCACTTTCATACAATACAGCAATTTGATGCATCAGTAGCGTTGAAAAGGTTTTGTATAATGAACTGAAAAATTTCAGTTTGAGTAAATTAGTCAATAGATTTAACCAACAAATGTTATGTTCTAGCATTTGTAAGATCTGTTAATGAGTTAGAAATTTACAAAATGTTCCTCTGCTGTAAAGATTTATTTGAGACGAGCAGAAGAATATATATATTTAATATTTTATCTGCATATCTGGACAGAAAGATATTTCTTGGAAGCATTGTATTTCTACAGATTGTGTTGCTTCCATGGCTTCGTAAAAGGCTTTGTAAAAAAAAAAAAAAAAAAAAAAAGGCAATGTTGTTTCCATATACTGTGTTCTTCATAGAGAAATGCTTGTGTCAAAATATCTTGATAATGAAATACAAAAGGTATTTGATGATGATTTAAAAATGGTAAACTTCATTAAACAAAAGCCAGTTCACTCTAGAAGTTTTATAAAGCTGTGTGAAAACATGGATAAGAGCCACATAAATCTGTTGTTATACACTGAAATCCAGTGGTCAAGAAGCCCCGTTCAGGCGAGGGTGTAAAGGGCATAAGTGGTTAAAGCTGAGCTCCGTTGCCAAGGCAACCAGTCACTGCTACGTCACAGAATCTGATTTAGGGCTCGGCATGGTTCCAAGTTTTAACTTACCCGAGTGGGGATAAGCATTGACCAATCAAGCAAGCTAAAAGAAGCGGCTCTTTAGACGTCACTGTCACATCGAAGGCGACTTTTTTTTTTAATATGGAACACATCGTATCCAAACGAAATAATGAGTTCTAATCGTATCCGAACGAAATAAAGTTGATCTCGCAAAAACTGCGATGATGACATCATTTTTTATGAGTTTTTAATGCATTTTTATGAGTTTTCAATATGAAAAATATGGAGAAACTTGTAGCGAAGTTAAGCTCGGATTATCCGTATTAGGATCGGTAATGACTGATCCGACCAATATTTTCTTTTATTATGAAAATTCTTTAAAAATGCATAGGGCAAAAATTTATTTTTTCTTGTAAATTATTAATATTACTTTCTTTCTGACTAAATTTTTTTCCTGTTTACTTTTTTTTGTATTTAAGATTTAATATTTTGTATTTATTAAAAGCTGGAAATTTTATTTCTATTTGCTTCAAATGCTGATTTTCTTTCCAAACAACTTCATGAATTAATTTATAAATCATCAAATCAATCAAGAATCTGCTGTTTTTTTAACATAAAAATAGACTTTTAAAAAAAAAAAGAAAAAATTATTTTCACTATTTAAGAATAGTCACAAATAGTCAATTATGCTAAGCTGTATAAGTAATAAAAGATTAATCTTTGAGAAAGGCTCTTATGAATCAAGAAAAAAAACATGTAGTGAAATATCCTTCAAACAACAGTAACAGTCTAGACATTTTGTGTCCTATTGAAGTTCGGTTCTGTTTTTTAATTACGTTCATCATGAAAGGAATTTACTTTGAATGAAACTAAATAGCAATAATTCATAACATGGACTAAATTTATGAATAGTATTTGTTATTATTATCCACTCTTTATTACTATCTTTGATGGAATTTTGATCATTAATTCATGCTATTTCTCTGAAAATTCCTGGATAAGGTATGAAGTTTTAATTTTGATGTATTTGAAGCTTGGGTACCTAAATTTGTCAATGTGAAATTACTTGTGAGATTTGGTCGTAATAGAAAGACCGTATGTTGAAATTAAATTCAGGGGTGCGGCTTATACATGCAAATTATTAAAAATAGATTTATACAAACGTGGCAACACAGCCAAATGTATCTAATGATTGACATAAAATACTTGTTGGGAAGTTAGTGATCGACAGGACAGTGAAGGAGTGCTAAGCACACGTTCACTCTCACAGAAACCTTTCATTTTAATTGAAATTAAAAATAATAATAAGAAAATTGTGGAAGTACTGTTTTTGGTTAACTTCTTTCACACACCTGCAAATGGAAAATATTATATGCAGGCTATCTGTTAGTTATCCTCAGATTTTTTTTTTTTTTTTAATTAGGCATATTTAGAATATCGTATTTCTCCTAAGAGAAATTATATATAAAATTTGAGAAGGTTTTATATAGTATATAAAATGCTGGCATGTTTATGTATAGAGAGTACTACAATACAATGCCGAAATATTCCATGCTGCTTTGCACAGAAGATATGTGCCAACCAAGTATTGTCTTTCAAAAAATATCTCTAACCATTTCGTTATTTTCTT